ATTCAGCTTAAGCCCCTTGGTCAAACTTGCCGAGCATTTTACAAAATTTTGAATGTAGAATAAAACCAAAAAGCATTCATGTTTCACAGAAATGTGACTAAATGCAGCAAACGTTTCATAGAACATTTCGACAGGCTTAGACGCTCTGTCTCAAGGGCGTAAGATTTACGCATGCCTAGGTGTCTAGTGAATGAGATTGTTTCATATGTTTGGCAAGTTGGCTAAACAAATAAAAAATTTCACCGGACATCAGAACAACGGAAAAAACGAACAGCTTCGAATATTATTGAACACGATTTTGATCACAAAACTTTATCCAAACATCAATGTTAACTATTTTTTGGCAATACGTTTTGTATGTTTGAACGAGGCTTCAGACATCTGTCTGATGTTGGGCCCTACTTCTCACTATCCCAACAATCGTTGTTGGAAATGTAGCCACAGCATCTAAGAGCAATTCAAACAGTATCGATGTCTCAATGGGGGCTGGGGGAGGGTTCTTACCTTTTATGAAAAAGTGTTTTGTTTTCTCGAAATTTTAGAAGCAAGTAGAAAATTCAACTGAACAAAATAAGCTAAATTAATTCTTGTTTTTCTCTTTTGAAATTGTTTGCAATACTTAACAATGAAACTTAAAACTGCTGCATTTTTCAAGAAAATTCAAGAACAGCATTTGTTTAAGTAACGTAATGGACTTTGACAACGAATGGGTACCTGTAAAAAATTTCCAAATGTAAAATCGTAAAGGCAGTGTGTCCCAATGAAAATCCAAAAAGCTGATGAAATACTGATATGAAAAAGAATAATTTCGTTCTGCGAAATGATTGGTTTAGACCAAGCTACACACCCTTCAAAACAAACAACTACGCTCTTGATTGCCCAGAGCAATACAATATTCTTTGGCTAAAGAATTCTCGCTTAAATTGATGGGAAAACATAAAAAAACACTGTAGTTCTGGGATATAAAGTCAGCGGTCTGTAAGATACAGAACAACAAATGTTTCTCACAGCTTTTTTTCCAAGGCCATTAGAAAAAGTTTTGACTCAGAACACAGAGACCATTATAAACCGAAAACTCCACCACGTTGATTAGGAAGCAAAAGAACTCAAGAGCTGCCATGCAAAGAACATGAACATGTCAAAATCGATTTTGAAATTACATATTATTAATGTACTTTAATTTCAAAATTCGTCTTTCTTCTGTTGTTAAAACCACAACTTATAAAAGCAAGTTATAATTGAGGGGACTGGTGAAAACACAAAATGAAGCTGCGTAGAATAAGTTGCTACGAAGCAACTTTAAAACAGAGGCAGTAGCATTTAGCATCTCTCGGACAAAATAGGGGGCCAAACTGAAAACAGGGCCCCAGATTGCCTTTTTCAAGCAACCTTGTAGTGGCAGAAACGTCAGTGCACGATCAGGCTAGAAGGCCAAAAGGAATTTTTCATTTCATGGTCATATTCCATGTAACTCATTCGGTGTAATGTATAAACTGCAGTGTATCTATCGCATATCGTAGCTTATGATCAATGTAATATATTTTTAAAATGTTAGAAAAGTATTTATAGGAGCTAAAAAAAACTATTATGAAAACATAAATCAAAGACATCATGAATCAAAGCATATGAATTTTTTGCAAATTTGGAAGACACGGCTTGTGGCTACGGAGTTTGAGGAAAGCTCCTGATTGAAAATGTGATGATCTACACTATGACTGTGATATAACTATGACATTGGTGAGACAGGTGCAGCGGTGTTCTTATGAGCCATTTCTGTGCTGTACATTAAGAATCGGATACTGTTACTCCCTGAGGAGAAATGTGATACACCGTCTGCTGGAACAAAAGGACGTCCGTGGAAGATTTCTCAGATGTCAGTAGCAAATGTGGCTTTCTCACTCTAATGATCAAAACAAAAGAGCAGCGCGACTGTGCCTTAAAAATGGCAAAAAGTATTGTTCAAAATGGCTAGAACTATGTTACCGCTTTTTATGTTCCACTCTTCAGACTGATAGAATTTATAGATACAACAGCAAAGAAGAAACGTTTTTTGAGAAAGGGATGATTTGGAACAATTCAGCCAGTCTTAATATGGTCACTCTTATGTTGCAACTGGCTAAAGAGTTGTTTGAAGCAGATTTGTTCAAAGGCTGTTAAACTAGGGTTAAACTACAACAATTAATCTATAATTGTAATAGGAGTGTATACATAAGACAACTTTATTGAGAAATCAACCACTGAGAGAGAAAATATAGGGCTTTAAAAGTGTTTCACCAAAACCTACATAGAATTAAGTAAGAATCAAATTGCATTCTAATGCAGCGTAATACATACTAATTTTGAACCGGATGTCAAGAAAGTCGTGAATTAGTGTGAAGAAATTAGTGGAATTTTCCATGAACAATTTGTAACACATCAGAATGCGTGAAGTACTATGGGACCTTAAAGAAAACACCAAAAAAGCGATAGATGCATGTGGAAACTTGTACAGAAGTAATTCGTTAACATTTCATACATCAATCATATGACATAACCTTCTTTATGATTGGTTACTAAGACATCAATCTTATGACGTAACCTTAAGTAGGACAGAAACTATTTAACACTTTCAATCTGGCTAACTGTCTTCTGAGTACCACTTTGTACACTATATTAAAAAAAAAATAAGAAAACAAATGCAAACTTGCATAAAAAATCAAGATTATTTTATTATTCTTCCACTCTTTATTGCTGGTACTGCAAAGAAGGAGTCAGAACTCTTAAAATTGCAATATTTGTTGGACGAAGCATTTTTTTTGACATTGCTAAGGGTATCTTTTCATTTTTCTTTGGAAAGGTTTTGAACTTCCCATGTTCCAGCTTTCGAAAACTCCCGTTTATCGAATACAAAGATGTTGTGGCGGAATGTAGCAAAGCTATTCACTTGGTACCTTGCTTGTAATAAGTTGAGTGGATGGTAAACTTTAGTGGGGAGGGGGCTTAATATGAATCTTACACGAATTGTGTTGCTTCATTGTGATTGCACCAACGGAGCTTGAAATGCGATAGGTTTTGCTTGATTAGGAGGGCTTCAACCCTCGAAGCCCTCCCCCCCTGTCATTTACGCCTTTGTTAGGTCCTGCCAATGAAATAGTTAAAAGTCCAAGAAGCTACCTTTAGAGATCATATGGAAGATCTTTCGCTGCCACTACGTAAGCAGTAAATAAACAATGTACATGGAAGTACAGTGAAACTTGCATCAAATGAGAACATTCAACAACGGACACCTCCAAAAATTTCTTTTCTGCCATCAACCCAAGGCACTAGTAACTTCAAGACAACAGATGAATCCAATTGGCAAAAACCTCCAAACAACGTCCAAATAATTTGTCTCAAAAATTCTCTTTTGTAGTCAAAGCTCTATAGAGATAACAGATTATATACAACAGACGTAAATCATTGCTATGATCATTGCCCTACAAACGCCAGTTAAATAGAGGCTTCATTGTTTTTCTTACTTGTGTAACTAGGGTCTCAGCATCCACGAAAGCAAAGTACATAAAGATAATAGAATTTGGCAGCAGAACTCTAGGGCGTAATGCAAAGCACTCCTGAGGCACAATCATTAACTAATAGCATGATGTCGTAAAACAATCATTTTACTATTAATAGAATTGCCAATACAACTTTGATTAATCACCATTTATTTCAAGAGCAATGATTCAGATGAATTCACTAGTTAAGGATATAAATAAGAGATCAGTGGATATAAAACTAGGTAGCTTTACATCTTTATTTGGGTAACTAATTATAATTATATATGATATGACTCTCGATTCTGCCCTTGTTTACTCTTCAATTCCTATGCAAATTGAATTTAATTCTTGTTCATCACTAGAAAGTCACTTGACTGTCTTAATACGTTTTCTTAAGCCAAGAGTTTTGTTTATTGGCTAAATTGATTGGCTTGTAGTGGGCAAAATAATAAAAGAATATAAGTTGACCCATTGTTGAGATCTATATATCAGGCAAGGGGGGGGGGCAAAAGTCGAGCAAGTGAGCGGAATGCTGGTACGTTTTTCGAAATCGTTTCACAAATTATCTTCCGCTGTAGTTTCACAAACTTTAAAACATATATACAGACTCATAGAGGTCATAACACATTTTGTGACTTGCTATGCATGCTTTTTTAGATTCTCTTTCTAGAAAGACGCTCTGAACTTTCTTACAGCCTTTTAAGCCATCTGGCATTGGTAAACGGTTGCAGCACTCAAACCATTTAGAAAGCTGTGTTGTCAATTGTCAAAGGTTTATTCATCGTAGCTTTATCGAGAGAAGCAGTAAATTTTTTGACTGGAGAAGATCAATTGCAAGACTATATTTTCGTTTTCCAAAGCTAAAACTCGAGTTCTTCTTTTATATCAGCAATTTCACAAGAATGTCTCCAATCAAACTTAACTCAGCTTTAAGTGATTAAAAATGAATGAACATAAGCTCTAAAGTTATTAATTTAATAATTAAGGAGTCGCTCTCCACACCAGCCAGCTTTTTATGTTAAATAAAACGACATGGATATATGTATGCTGGCCTTACAAGAAGTATATTTTCGTGATCTAACTCTAAAACATTTACAAATTCTACTGATTCTAGACAAAGTTTTATGGCTGCAGATATTAAGAAAGCCTTTGGTCTCAAGCGAGAAAAACTTGCACTTTGTTTGGTCAACTAAACGTAAATGTGTTTGTCAACGAAAATCACTACCACATAATTTTTCGACGAACACGTGATGGCAACTAAGCCGACTCTTTACGCTGATTTGAATAATCAACGAGCGTTAACTGCAAAATTCATTCGGCCCCATACATTCTTGCCATTGAAAGAGCTTACAACGAATGCAAATGCCTCACAATCCTGATCTAACAAAGCCTCTTCCTGTTTTTATCGACAGGTTTTTTGAAATTACCATTTTGTTACAACGCAATGAAACTGCATGAGAAAATGATTTTAAAAGAAAAACAAACCGTTGTTTGGTTCTCCTTTGCACTGGTACTGCATCGGCATTTGACAATGGTGAGCATCAAAATTATCATGTTGATGCATTTCCAGCATTTTTCAGCAGCCCTTCAGCAATCCATTTATATAACATTCCTATACTTGAGGCTTCGTTTCGATATCCACAGCAGTCATAACTGCCAAAAGAAGTACATGATCGAATGAGTATTTGCCTATTCGAAATTCTAAGTTGTGAAGCAGAAGGCCATGAGTTTATCAATCATATGTTCACCTGCTTCGGTGTTGTGATCAAACGATAGAACAGGCTGTTGTTTCTGATTGGTTTTCACAGTTGTCAATATCGCTTTAATATTTCATGTGGTTAGTGGCCGGGGGAACTAGAATCGACCGGCCGAAGGAGTGTATTACGAGTGCCCATATTCAATATTGGAAAATAAGATTTGTTTTTCACGACAAATAAAGCTGTTTAGAGAAAAGAACTAAAGATTTCAGAGCAAATCAAAGCTTTATTGCTGTCATCTTCTTTATGCATAGTTGATACTAATCATAATGTTCAAACGGGTCCGAGGGCATCTTTTTACTTGCAGTACATCTGCACCAAAATGGTCCTTACAACTTTTCTGTGGAATCCTGTAGTTACATTTTATTTGTTGTGAAGGCTTTTCGGCAAAAAACCAAATCCTTGTGAAAAATATACTTGTTCAGTAAACACAAGCCGAGAAAAGCAAGCAAAGAACTTTATGATAAAGCAAACGTTAAATTTAGAGCTATTCCTGGAAATAAATATATTAGACAAAGATTGATTGTTTTCTTCCATAACATCTTTCGTTATGATGTTCTGTTGGTCAGCTTTGAATTATAATTTTCCAGTTCTCTTTTACTTTGTAGCAGTCACCCCCGGAGGCATAATTTCATCTTAAGAAACACGTGATCTTTCAGCCGGCTTCTTTGAAAACAAATATTTATGATAATTATTCGCATTAATGCTTGAAATTATCATATTTTCACAGCCCCATTGCGAAAGGGTTCTGTATTTCACGTGAAAATATCAGGTGGAAACAGACTGGCGGCGAAAACCTTTCGTATTTCACAACATCTCTTTCCAAGACATCATTAATCATTTAAACAGTGAGACATCTGAGAGGCTTGAGTTGTGCAATGGTTGCGTGTAGTCCTTGAGAAAAGAATGAAGAACCACATCAGTTAGTTCTAGGGCCTAATTTACGGTGGATAAGTCCACCAATAATCTTCTTCAATATCGAAATAATGGTCTGAAATTGCAGATGTAGGAATAAAGAATTTGTGAAATAACAAAATTTGATAATATCCCTCATTTCCTCATTTAAGTAAACCTGAATTAAACGGCGGCCAAGAAGAAAGTGAGCTACGAAATCGAAATTGGTGCACTCAGGAATCAAATTCACTTTGCAGTCATCGAAACGCTATCCCTAAATGCATTGCAGCGTGGTTTCAGAACTTGACTAGGTGAAACAAGAGAAGAAGAATACAAACCTTTTTGGTAGTATCCGTTAGCAATTACCTTTTTCACGTTGCGAGCAATTGGAATATCGGATATTATGAAAACAAGCAACTAGCATAGTAATTTTTTTTAATTTTACCTTCAGAATCTAAGTACAAGCCATGGCAGCAATTAAGAGGACAATTTAGCAAGCTTGAAGAAACCTTTTAGAAATTAAGGTTTAAAATCCGACTGTACAGAAGCTTTTCCTTTGTTGATAAAAGCCCGGGGAGGGTAACTTCCACATATACTGGTGCGGGATGTTCCATTTTTTGTGGTAATATTTTTCAAGAAGAAACAAAATTTTGGGGTATTGATTTTGTGTCGTTTTATTAAATTACGACAACAAATTCATACTTTTGGTAATAATTAATTAAATGCTCATAAAGAAAGTCTTCTCAATGTCTACAACAAATGTACAAGCGCCCCCCGGGTAAGCCCTCCTCGAATAAGCCCCATCAAAAAATATCAAAAATAAATAAGCCCCAAGGGGGCTAATTCGAGGATTTACGGTATCCATGTGTTTCATTTCTAGAGATGAAGTCAAGTAGAAAGAATTATGCATTTTCTGGCTTCTAAAGCTACTAAACGCCTATCAGACATTTCGATATATTTCAAGATCTTTATTATAAACATATATAGTAACATTTATTGAGATCGCTGAAACAAATCATATTTCTTAATTTTCAAATTTAAAAAAAAGATACTAAACTAGGCAGCCTAGCTATGCATTCAAAATAAGAAAATATAATCGTTCATGCATATTTGTTTTCACGTAAATGTGTTTTCATAAAACGGTCCCTCTTGATAATTCTCATAATACGATTCTCTTTCAGACAAAGTCGCGTAGCTTGGCTGTTCATTAATTTCTTTGAGATCCATATAATTTGTATTCCCCTTCTCTGGTGCATCTTCTGCTGACTTTTTGCTGAAACTAGGAATACAAAGAATTAAGGAAACGAAAAAGGCAGCATTGTACACCCAATCATGCTGCACCAATTTCCTTCTCGCATTGCCCCCCTCCCCAGATAAGAGAACGTAGTAATGCGGTCTTCCTTGGTTGTAGGTTGTTCATTGTTCATTGATTTTAATCTGAATCAAAATTAGTTTCGACTTTTCTTCCTTCTTCTTTTTTTGTTTCTGAATTTGTTGGTTATTATTTGTTTTTATATTATCCACACTCTCTACCTTGAATTTTCGTTATAGTGTAACGACTCTGCTTAGGCCCGTTTACATAAATTTTTCCTTCTCATTCATTCCATCACAATCTCACATCGCAGCACAGGCATCCTCTAAGTCACTCTCATTTCACGTTTTCACTGATCCCTATCGTTTTCTTTATCCTTGCTACGCTATTCAATTTACTCATCACTCTTACTTGCCCTTCCGATAATCTATTTTTCACACCTGATTCGTGTTAAATTTAGATCTTCGTTTCTGTATATATAGAATGAAGACACGCAATGGGCACATCGTCCCTTCTCTGGCTCCACACGTTAAATAGGACTCGTTGGATTCGGAAACGACACAGTCATCAATGGATGGATTTATTTAGTGCCTACATTGATCGTTGTTCCGATGCACACTAAAAAAGTACAAGAAAACCTGTTTATTGATTTCAAAGGACCTAGAGCTCCATTAAAAAAGTGTTACTGAATAGTATTAATAATAATAAATGTATTACACGGAAGTGGCTGGCTGAAATAGACACAAGAAGCAGCAGCCCAAGCTAAGAGCCTCAAGGAACACCACATTTGATGCAGTTAGAAGTCATTGGCTACAATGGAATATCTTAGAAGAAGGCACTATGGCTTTGCAAATGATAGAAAATTTGATAAATACTTACCCACTTCTTTGGACAGTTGAAACTAAATCAACTAAAATTAAAACATATTAGTTAAGAACTTTTTTGGATCGACAAAGGAGTTTTGGGAGTTGTTGCCTGGTTTATCGGGCTCAAAGATGTAAATAGGTGAAATAAGACAAGTTTCTATTCGACAATTTGAAGGGGGGTCAAACTGTGAGCATTGATTTGGAACAACAAAACAGTGAAAAGTGTCCATGCAACGTGTGTAGGAAATTTCTAAATATGGAGTGGCGTTAAAGCTTTGGTCTGTCGGTCAAAACCTTAAAGCGCTAAATCTTCACACGATCTAGAATATGCACCAGGTCTCAAAGTCGCACAGGGTGTATGGTTGGGTCTAGAGGATAAAGCAATCAAAATGGTACCTTTGATTCCATTTATTTGGAACTTTATTTACAAGTAAGGGTTTAAAATTTATCATAGATTAACTGTGATTAAAAATCTTTTACGAAATAAAGGCAAATTAATATCATTTTTAAAAAACATTGTCTAGAACAGTTTCTATAGCAGGTGAAAAAACCCTGAAACTTGCATATTTCTATGTCTTACTCTACTGTTGAGGGTTGTCGAACTCAGCATAGCGGTCAAATATTTGATTGGCTGAGAGCTCTGTTCGCTACCATATTCTAAGCCAATCAGCACACAGGATTTTCAGAACAAAATCGCTTCGCAGCTAGAATTAGGCCCATTTTCGCCATTTCAGCGTGTTTTTACCACGTTGTCTACAAAAAACATTGCACGCCTCTACAAAGCGAATTTCCACTTTATTTTTTGTCCAGTTCATCATCATGCGTTGCTATTTAACCTATATTGGCGCCACTGTTCGATCGCAAAGAATAATATAAAAAAACACCTCGCAAATGATCGATAAATTTCGTGTCGAGATTCAGGTAAGTTACGTTTTTACCTCTCTTACAAAGAGACGTAATTACAAAGATACGTTTATTGATTTCGAGGGTGAATATGAAAGCCTTCGTGCCGTTGTGATAATTACATTGGCGATCACCGCGAATCTAAAGCTGAACAGTGAGTGCATCTTTGACGGGATTATGAACCATTCCTAGATTTAAGGTAAGTATATAATTAATTTTGTCTAAATGTGAACCTTCTAAAGCGTTTTAGGTGGGGAGAGGTAAAAACGTAATTTACCTGAATCTCGACACGAAATTTATCGATCATTTGCGAGGTGTTTTTTTATATTATTCTTTGCGATCGAACAGTGGCGCCTATATAGGTTAAATAGCAACGCATGATGATGAACTGGACAAAAAATAAAGTGGAAATTCGCTTTGTAGAGGCGTGCAATGTTTTTTGTAGACAACGTGGTAAAAGCACGCTGAAATGGCGAAAATGGGCCTAATTCTAGCTGCGAAGCGATTTTGTTGTGAAAATCCTGTGTGCTGATTGGCTTAGAATATGGTAGCGAACAGAGCTCTCAGCCAATCAAAGATTTGACCGCTATGCTGTGGCTAATACAAATCGATGGTGCATTTGAACGAATAAGCTGCACTAAGCGTAAACTGCGTTACAGAGACCAAACCAAGTGCAGTATTAGAGAAGTTTGACTTCAGTCAACAGTAACGCTAAACGTTTTCACAAGGAGATAGAATGAACTTATTTTTGTATCTGAAGAGGACAAAGATGGAAGTTCCATGGTAATTTTTGCAAATACGTTTGTGTCATAAAATCTATCGATGATTGAGACGAAAAATTTTTGTTACCTTTCTTCAACTAACTACTATGATGAATTTCGAAGTTTATCAGTAAACTTAATTTCACCAGCTTTGGAATTAAACATTACCCAGCTCATTTGCAAAACTGCTAGGATTACACTACCAGTGTCTGGTGCCTTTTTTTAAAATCATTATAAGGATTATCAGATAGGACCAAATAAACATCTCTTTTAAGGTCACGTCTTTCATATTTTCATAGATGGGTTCTACTCAATGTGTGGAAAGATACCTGAATTTCGTGCAGCTTTTTCCTATATTTAAGTTATTTTTCAAGCTACAGCAATGTATAAGAATGAAATTGGCCCAGAAGTTTAAAAGACATACCCATTTTTGTTTTGCCTCTTAGACGGAAATTCCAAACCAAAAGACAAACAATTATGATGACCAAAATAAAGATGACCAAACCAAAAGCAATGTACGCCACGGAAGAAGCAAAATTTTGTTGCTGCTGTTGCTGTCCTTTTATCTTCTTGTCTGGTGACAAGAATAGATCATGTCGTGACTATACCACATATTCTAACCATTTAAATAGAACTCGCCTTCATATAACCAATGTTTCTGAAGAAAGTTTATGACCGTCAAAGGGCTTAGGTTTCTAGGAAGGGAAGGGCCTGAGTAAAGTGGCTCTATTCAGCGCTATCAGCTTAGGGAGACACAGAATAGCTTCGTACTGTCCTGATTCCTAGGATCCTAGTAACTCTAATACAAAATAGAACTTGGAGGTTCAATCTTAAGGAAACATATAGATCTGGATTAACTGAATAAATTGGTATAATCAAAGACTAGAATGAGCTTATGTAATTTCTAAATTCACTATTAAATAAATCTAGGTTCAAGAGTCACTTGCTCTTTCGCTGGTATTATGGCAGGCCCTTTTAGCTAAGCCACTTCATTAAATTAATCAGCCCTATTCCACCGGAACGGTAAAGATTTAAATCAAGGTAAAGGTAAGAAAAAGGGGAAAAGTAAAGGTAGGAAAATTGGATATCTAAAGGTAAGGGGAACGGCAAAGGTTTAAATAAAGATAAAGGTAAGAAAAAGGGAAAAGGTAAATGTACGAAAAAAAGAAAAGGTTAGGCAAGGAAAATTGGATTGGTAAAGGTTTAAACGTGAAGGTAAGAAAAAGGGGGAAAGTAAAGGTCTAAATAATGGTTAAGGTAAAAGTAAGGGAAAAGGTAAAGGTAAGGGGAACGGTAATGATTAAATAAAGGTAAAATTAAGAAAAAAGGGAAACGTAAAGGTAAGGGGAAACGTAAGAGTTTAAAAAAAGTAAAGGTAAAAGTGAAAGTAAAGGGATGGAATTGCTGCCATTCTCATTTATATTTCATATTTGTGGCGCTCTTTTTTTGCTGCCACTCTCGTTAATTTCTGCCGCTCCGGTACCCAGTGTTAGGTAGGGAGTAAAGGGAATAGCCATGTAAAGCAAAAATCTGTCGTTTTGATTGGGGAATGTAATACAGCAGAAACAATCAAAATCGGATATCCGAAATTTTACCTGACTCACTGCAGTTTCTGTTTGACTCACAATGTTTAGTGATGGCTGGTCTGGTTTGTGTTGATTTGTAATGCTTTGTTGTAAAGTTGGAGCTTGTTACCTCGATGGTGAAAAATTTAGATGATCTCAAGTTTTTTGTACTCTCATCCTTAGCTTTTCGGGTACTCATTGTTGTCTTTTGATCAGTAACTGTCTGGGTTTTTGTTGTTGTCTTTTCATCAGTAGCAATGCGGGTAGTTGTCGTCCACGTAAGCCGAGTGCTTTTTCTTGTTCTAGGTATGCTACTCGAATGGGTTGTGGTAGGAGGGCTAGTTGTTCTTGTCTTCACAAACACAGTTGAATTTCCTCCAAGGGAAGAGGACAAAGAGAACAATGCGACCGCCGGAACTATTCCAGAATTGCAGAAGGTGAATTCCGAGCGATTCCAAACACTGACACGATACAGGGTTGCTGAGGAAAGGTTCTTCAATACCAAATTGTACAAAACATCACACGCATTAGTTTTGCCAATCTGCCAACTCATCTTCAAACATGATGAGTTCACCAGTTTGGCTTCTGGGTAAAATTGCTTATCCTTGCGAACTAAAAAAATTGAATATTGATAAAAATCAGAGCTACACCAATGGAAAGAAGCGGCTGCTTCACAGCAAAACTGCACCGAATTGAACCCATGCTAAACAACTTCAAGTCGAACCCAGTTCTCTTCATACACTGGAAGTTTGTTAATAAATATAAGTGTGAGGGCGACAAAAATTTAGATTTGCCAAGACAAGTTTGTATATCAACCACTGTGAGAAATATTCTTCGACACTCTCTAAAGGCTCTTGCGCAGCCGGCATGCTTAGCGGTGGCTTAATTGGCTATGTTTTGAATCTCATTCAGTACAATATTAGGCCGGTTTTGGAATTATAGACGCAAAGCATGCCGGTTGCGCAAGAGCCTTTAACTTTATATTTCAGCTTTTGGCTATAACTATGGATATTGATAAGAAGGTGACAAGAGATGGAGGATGATTTTGCTTTGAAGGTAATCGTTCAGTATTTCATTGTACGCCGCAAGAAGATGCAATTCGCAAGAGTTTTGCCAGAAAAAAGTATTTTTACCCTTATAAAATATCTGTCTATTATAAATTATCTTCTGCAAATATTTTTAAAAGTTTTAAATGGAAGGGAAATATCTAAACAACACTGATTTAAGGATAAGTTTCCATATTAATTTCAGCTTTCTGCTTTCTATTCAAATATGTTACCGAATACCGACTGTAATCCATGATAAATCTTTTATTTTAGCATATTCTTTCTAAAAGAATCATTTTCTTGATGAATTGTAGAGTCAAATTGATAATGTTTCTTTTGACGCTATAAGGGAAATTTTCGTTGCCATATAGTATCAACTTGACTCTACAGATCATCCACAAAACTAGTCGATATGAATAAGGTCGTTTCAATTTTAAAATGTACACAACTTAACGTATTTTTATTTCCAATTCTTATATTTATATGTATATATATATACATATATATATATATATGTTAATGTCCTTGGGGTAGACACAGCCTTTTGTTCCCTGGGGGTTTATGTCCCAGTAGTATTGGAAAGTAATTCTTTTTAGTAGTGCAGACAATAATATGTATTGTAACTTTTTAGTGGATTTATTAGTGAGTTTTTAGTGGATATATACAAACAAATTTTTCATGACCAGATTCAAGTCATATTTATCATAACTAACATTAAAATATTTTTCAAAGCTATTTAAAGAGCGGTTTAAAAAGCTGTTAAATTTAATCACATATAAGATAATTATGTGTTTTACGTTCTACCAAAAGGGTGGGCTACTAGTTCTAAAGGTATAGTCGATAGTAATCGAAACTTACAAAGAACTCTTATCGATATATTCCGTTCTCCAGAGGTGCCATGGACGTTGGTAAATTTAAATAAAAGTCTTCTTCCACAATAGTCGATTGGAATTTTCTGCACTTCGTACGTTCCTTTGAACACAAATGGATATTGCTGGGCTGCTTGTGACACCGTGGTGTTCGTACCACGTGACCAACGAAAACTTACAACTGGTACAGGATTTGCAGAAACCATCGCAACAATGCGTAAAGTCGATCCCTCTTCAACAACGACTTCAGAAGAAGGCAGAGACATGAACTCTGGCTTTCCTGTAAGCAAGGGAAAAGTGTCTTAAAGAGGGAGCTCAAGGGCACCAAAAAATGGGTCTTGGTCATGCTAAAAAACCCTTTTAGCATTTCACAGAGATGCTAAAACTTAAAGAATTTTAAATCAGAGCTTCATCAAGCAAAAAAAATTCTCAAACAGGAGCAGGTAATTAAGTAAGACCGATCTCGTTGATCGATTGAAATAAGACCTATCAAAAATTCTGGAGGAAAATTCGACTTTTTGTGCAACAAACAACTGGGTCAAAATTCAGCTGCATAAAAACATATGAAAACAAATTTAGTCATGCAGCTTATCTATAAATTGATGGAGCAATTCATCACATCTACGTTTTGATATCGCCTGATACAAAATGTGATTTTTTGAATGTGCGGAGGACCCTACACTTTAAATTGCCCAGGTGACAAAATGCTTTGGCTTTAGGATTACGCCGAAGGCAATAGAAAAATGCCCAGCTGAGTTAGCCTGTGTTCCAGACATCCCTAACTTAAAAGTAGAGGTCTTACTTAATTACCTGCTCCTGCACCTTAATTACCTCTACTTTCAAGTTAGGGGTCTGGAGCACAGGATAAGCTGAGTCAGCAATAGATGTGTAAGTCAGACAGTAAGGATAAGGAGTTTGAGAAATTTTGCGACTTTGAATGACAAAATTTTTTGTTCCATTGATTCAAGGAAATATTGGGAGATTATTGTTGACAACAATTCCCTTTGGGCATTGCCAACAACTAACATTTGCCAATATTTTGGTACTCAAAGTGGCAATATTGACATATTGCACATCAAGTAGACATTGTAAATCGGAATTTTTGGCTACGCTTGAGCCAGGGGCGCTATAGATGGGGGCATGGGAGCTACAGCACCCCAAGGCCTCTAATTAGGTGGAACATTTTCTTTTTTTGTCACAATTTTTTTAGGCAAATTAACCTGTATTCCCCACTCTTACAGAAAATCATATATCCTTAACTTACAGAAAGTCACTTAGATATGCCAACTGTACTAGTATTGACTCACAAGAATTAAGGGAGCAGAAATATTGCAAATCCGAAAATTATACTATTTTTCGACCTCAATTGAACTTTTTATCAAGAATTTTGCTAACACTTTAGGCTATTGATCACCCTCTCCCCTCAAGGCCTCTGATCCTGTGACATTGTTTTCTGAATTCTCGAATTTCTTATACATTTCTTTGCATATTGACGGTAATAGTACGAAAACGACAATGACCTACCAAAAACTTGCAGATTGTAAGTTGGTTTTTGAGGGTACATTCGTCTATAAATCCAAAAACCGGCTTCAACATTGCATCTGAAACGGTAGGCTGTGTCGTTAAACTGTATGTTGCCAATGACTAGAGTATAGCTTGAAGAAATCGCCGATACCCTTCCAGCAAACTGTTTTGGCAGTGCAGAAACAGCTTGAAAAGCTCCATCTCTCCTCTTTTCTGCTAAAGTTATAAGGCTGCTACCTGATAAATAACCGCATTGCTGGCCAATGAATTGACATCCTTGCAGCAATGGAACCCACTGCATTCTAACAGATGTTCCTTTAGTAACAGTGATAGTCTGAGTGGAATTTGCTGGCTGGATCACTAAGAATAGAAATGATTTCGCCAAACCCCTATATATGCTCCAAAATGTATCAAAATCATTAAAAAAGTTTTTTCATACTATCTTAAGTAAGAATTTTAAGTTAAATAAAACTACTGTCACAAAAAGATGAATATCAAGAGTTATATCGTACATCCGTTGAAGTTTTTGATGCATGATCGTTGCAAATTGGCTCAAGAGCCACGGCTGGCCCTTAGACTGCTCAGGCACAATTCATATATCACAATGCTGATAAAGAGCTCAAATTGCTAAAGAAAAAAAATCATGATCGTAAAAGTAGAAGGGCGTCTGATTGCATTACTCGGTACAGCTACACTAACTTCTAAGATCTTCTCACTTAGATTCATCATTTTTTCGCAAAATTGCATCTGGAGCTATAAGATTCTGAGTTGAACGTGAAAATTCATATTCGTTGCAGTTTCTGTAGGTAGTAAAAACATTGTGCACATGACATTGGATTGCCAAGGCCAATTATAAAATATAGTTATGCATCACCTAAATAGACGAGATCCGAAGCTTTTCAAATTTTAAACCTATGAGCAGGGGGAGGGAAATTGGATTGCGGAAATCCCATCTTGGCAAACTCAGCACCATCAGGGCTAGCTTTACCCTGGGTACGAGACCAAGAGTAGGCCAGCTTTGGCGGGTCACAAATCAACAACAAGTAATAAAAGATTGAAGTAGTTTTGGTAAATTTCCTTGTTTGATAAGAGAAAAGAAGCAAATAAAAGAAAACTTTAGGAGAATGTGTCAAATTTTTAGACCTCAATCTGAATGGACCAAACTGGATCCTAAAATTAGGCTTGTACCGTCTGCTTCAGTTTTAAATAGAAAGCTTTCATTAATGATTCGCACCCCCCACCCACCCCCACCCCCCCCACCCTCCTTCCAATGGAAAATCTGATTTTGTATTCATAACCCAGAAAGCCTTGTCGTAATTTTCTCAATTAATCTCGGTCTCATTAAATTAAATTGTCAACAATTCAGGCACTTCAGAGATACCATGCACCCAATGTGCCCAACAAACCATGGGATATAGGAAACGGAACACTTTTCATTGCTTTGCCATTCATTTGACACCCATTAATGAATTCAAATCAACAGTTTTTCAAATTAAACTAGGATACAAAAATATTTTGGTGAGATTAATAAAAATATTCTTGAATTGACGCTAAGCCTCATCCACAAAACTGGTCGATTGAAATGCCCATTTCAAAATAGATAGTTGCAAGGCACTTTTCTTACTTCTCATTGTTCTGTTAATTGTATTCTACGTATGTAAAGAGTAATTTAACGTAAACTGAGATCTCAAGGTCCTGGTCTTTTCTACGGCAACCCTGTATTTTGGTCCTGCTCATAACTATGATACCCTATGTTTGGTTCTGCTTCACAATGGGTTTTTGTAAATTAACTGGGGACTGTGTATCAAATAGAATTTGAAACTTCCTTTTTTGCAAAGAATAAATTTTTTTATTGTTTACAGTAAATGTTATCTTTGGAAATTCTTGGTCCTGCCTAGCAGGACCAGCAGGACCTTGGCTTCGCCATTGACTAGAGAAAGGCCAAATAGTAAAACTCGAAGCAGCGAAATTAGTGGGAGTTTATTTTACTTAAGAATATAAATCTTAAACTTATTCTTCGGAATCTTTGGCAGAGCTGAGCCCCACTAGCCCCAATACACGAGCCGCCACTGGGAACCTCCATTAAAGGATACCTCTGTAAAACGGACTTCTCTCAACAACGGACATATCCAACTGGTCAAAACCTCTATACAACGTACACCTCTATTCATCGGATAAATTTATTGGCCTTTAGTACTTCTTTATGACATAACCCTGAGGCCCTGGTCGGTACTAGATCATAGTCAGCTAACGTACATGACGTCATACAAACTATGGCAACCTAATCAAACCTTTTGATGAAAATATTTATTGCAAGCGGCATGAAATTCAATACCTATGTCAACTGCCAATACCTCAGTCAATGACTCAACACTAAACTGTGGAAAATGAAAACTGACGCAATGCTTCTAAAAAGGCTTTTACGCTTGATTACAGCCAATCTGTCGGAGAGGGGGTGGGAGGACACTCTTCAAAACGCTTGATAATGTTCTTATGCGGCGAAACCAGCTATCTAAAATTCTTAATAACGGCTCCATACATAACTACTGATGGTAGTTACTCGATAATTCGAGCAAAACCTGTAAGAGAGAGTTTTCATAGCTGCCCACGCATCAAAATGGGGACCAAGTTCGTTATATTCAACTGTAAGAGAGTGCTTCAAAACAGAGCCTTTTTAATGCTTTAGAGTAGAATAGACACTTTTTCCGTGTTTCCCTGTTTGTGTGTGCTATGAATTGAAACCACTGGAGAAAAAGCTAAATTCCTGATTTAGCGGAAATTTCCCCGAACGAAGTAGACAGAAAATCTGGCAAACACGCCCCTGTAGATTAAACAAACTACAGAATGATTTTCTGATGTCATTTTCTTGCAGTCGCCTAAAACATTTAACTGTTCTGTAGGGATGCATGGGCCCTGTCAAAGTCACAACAAATCACAGGCGAATTCCGCCACTGCTTGCAGCCTCCGTCTTATTTCACTTAGTCCTCGGTTGTATGACGTCATGCAGGTTAGCTGACTATGATCTAGTACCGGCCCAGGACCCTGGGGTAGTCATTATCGCTTGCTCCCCGGGGTATCGTCCATGTAGCTCAATAGATTTTAACTGAGTATAAAAAAACGTTGAGGGGCCGATGCTTAAAGAAAACGGTCCGGGGAAACATCATCGAGAAATTTTTGAGACCAAGCCCTCTAAAACGCCTTTCCGCTAGGTCCGTTCCAGAGGGATAGAGCTAAAGATGATTTTTCAGGGCATATTAGTGAAGTAGCAATTTCAAGACTACAACTGTGATCTTTCGAGCAAAAAACTTGTGGCCTTGAGATGGACAAAGAACCTTCCACTTCTCCATATACAGAACATGTAATCTAGTTGATGCTGGTCAAAGAGAAACCTACTAGTATTTATAGAAAAAAATCGAAATAAAGAATAAATCATTCGCATTTTTTAATAAAAATCGTCTATTAAGCAAAAAATACTGATTAGACTCAACTATAAAAAAATTCCTTTTGAAGTTAGGATTATGTATCTTTTGTGGTTCAATAGAATTCCAAAGTGATGACGTCACAAAATTATATTTTTTAAAATTTTTGACTTTGGACGGCATTACCTGAATGAAGTTAGAGAGTAGCCTGAGTTCCAGACCCAAAACTGGAGTCGGGGGCTCAGGCAAGTTAGGGGGGCTGAGATGACTTTACCCCTCCAAAAAAAGTTTCCAAAATGCACCTAAAACCACAGAAAAATCGCCTTGCTTTCAGTTTTTAGCATGCTTAGCCCCCTCAATCTGTAATATGCTCCACGATCCTTGTCTTAGAGCACTACATTACATTGTAATATCATTGCATGTTGAAGACATTCGAATGAGAAAAACTTCACAATCACACCTACGAAAGAGCACTTTCGTTTATTGTGATTAAAGATTTCTGAATTTTCCAAGATGAGCTTTTTAACAAAGCCAGTGGTGGATTTCAGTAGGCCTTCCGGGAAAATCCATACAGAGCATTCAGATAGAAAACTCTCACGATACCCTGATCATTAACCCCCCCTCCCCCCCTCCCTTAGAGGCTCAAAACTTTATGAGAAAAGCAAGGGCTGGAATCAAACCATTGAACCATTTGTCTAATAAAATATTTTGTCTGTCTAAAAATTCATCGTTGACGCAAGCAATGAAAAAATGTCTCACACTCAAACACAATAACGCACACTGTAGGTGCAAAGTTCCTCCAGAGGCGGGAATTGTGAAAGTTTAGGCAGCTACCCACACTAACCCAGTGTTGGAAAATTTTGGCTTTTCTTTTATATTCAGCATCATAATTCCACCTTTTTGCCGAAAATGCCAAGAACAAAGGAATGGACCACGATTCAAGCGGCTTTAGCCTCCTACTACTTTAGCAAACAGTGACAAGTCCCCCCCTCCCCCAATTCCCGGCAGGTTCAGCTCACTAGTGCGTTTGGACTTGACAAAAAAAGGTTGAGGAGTGGTAACATTTAGCAACATATTTTTGTCATGTAATCTTATGATTTTGAAGCTGCCTTTACGTAGCCAAAAGTTAGTCATTGGCGTTCCCTCTTGCTAAAATTTGCGTTTCCGAATTGAAATGGAGCCTTTTCTAACCGTTAAACGGATTGTGGCCTACAAATCTTTGTCTTCTCCTCCAAGGCCTTGTGGCTAGTGCTACCCATGATAAGAGCCCCCCCCCCCCATCCTCCGCGCTTTTCTCAACGCTCTGCGGCGCCTGAGAATTTCGGATGGCTATCTATTCAATTATAGGCCTATTCGTTTGGCCACGTCTCAGAATTCCAGTGCTGGTAGGAGACAGTGTCTTTCATTTTCACTTTCAAATAAGATCTTATATGCGCTAACAAGAAAAATTGAGCAGAGAATATTGGGCTGGTAAATCTCATCATAGAGAATTGGAAGAAGGTTGATTTTGGTGGTTCTATATAAAGCATTTGATTGATTAAACACGAAATTGAAACTGCAACTTTGAGGACGACAGTGCCATTTTGATGTTGAAGTTTTTATTTCAAATCTCAATCATAATTTGTCAAAAAACGTTCTGGTTTAAGACATAAATTTTCGTGTCATCAGCAGTTTTGAACTACTAAGGCAGTGGCGGAAACTCAGGCTTTTGTTTGGGGGGGGGGGGTGGCTCAGGCACACGATTTACCAACAATAAAACATCTTGGATATACCTAATTTTTAGGAAAATTTATTCACTGCACACTATTTGATGAAAATAGGTGATTTTTTCTACCCAGCTTGCTTGTTTTTCAGTAGGAAATCCGTTTGCAAATAACATTTGTTTGAAAAAATCCGATGGAAAGGTCGACCAATCTTTACAGAATTGAAATTAGATATACAATTCGCAAGCAGTTTTGATATTTGTCATATATCTTTGTTTGATTATTTAGTACTATTATTGCATCATGTATGTTCAAGGTTAGAGACGTTTAAAACTAGGTATGTCTTAGGTTGGGTTGCCTGATTGGGTTGCCTGAGCCTACCATGCACGCATAATTTCCGTCGCTGTACTAAGGAATAGATGTAGCAAAAGCATATTAAAATAATCAAACAACAAGATAAGGGGTATCTCTATACGGTCTCAAACTGTTTAGTATAGACAAAAAGTCATGTTTGGTTTGAGACAGTTCTCAGAGAAAAATGTGATGGTTGACGTGTCTAATCCAACGAATCGAATATCCAAAGTTGTTTCGTTTTATTTAAATTGCGACTTTTGCTTATGTATGTTATTATATAATCAGTACCTAAAAAAGCAGACGAATTAAAAGCTCTTTGTCCTTTGGGAAAATGAGCATAGAAAAATCATATCACCTTGACAGCAAAGACAGCAGCAAACTACGGTAGCCAAGAAATAGCAGATTGTGATATACGACGCCATCTTTAAGGTTTAAGGTTCCGCAATGGATTCCTGTTAAAACAAGTGGTTGACTTTTGTTTCCGCAGGAAGTGGATCAATGTAAACTAAAATCAAGGACAAGTATGCAGAGGCGTATATGCGGGGCGAAAATCACATTTTTCTGGGAGTTGGGAGTTGGGAGTTGGGAGTTGGGAGTTTGGGAGTTTGGGGTTGCAGGGCCGGCGAAACCAGGGGGCCGGGGCAGTGGTGGCGCCAGGGGAGGGCTAGGGGGGGCTGCAGCCCCTCCGTCGGAAGCACCTAGCCCCCCCATCGGAGGAAATTTTAGGTTATTGTCAGAGCAAATTTGACAAAATAACGTACGAAAACTGCTTATTTTAGTCATTTTAGCCCCCCTGTCGGAAGCTCCATCCCCTCTGTCGGAAGATTTCTGGCGCCACCTCTGGGCCGGGGGGCCATGCCCCTCCTCCCACTTTTCTGCAGAGCGAAAGACATTTTTGAGGCAAAAGTGGACAGAAATCTACTATATCATTCTCTTAGTAACTGTGCTTGGAATCCCTTTAAAATGCCCTTAGCTTTAGCTTGGTTGCTATGTCTTTACCATAGAAGACATACAAAAAAAATTGAAGATGGGAATGAGATCGAAGAAATCGGTCATTGTCCAAGTTGTACAACGAGCAACAGCTTAGTGTAGGAAATAGATCAAGAAACCTGATCCGGAATAGCTTGGTGCCAGCACAAATTGACGGAGGTTTGTTTTTTATATGACCTAAACAAGGTCTGTTTGTTAACGAAAACTTTCTCAGAAACATTACAAATAGAGAGAAATCAGCTGTTGAAGGACAAGAAAGAGCTGCAAAGGAAATTTTTGAGGATATGAGAAATAAAGATTGGGCAGATTTGTTCTTAAAAAGTATCATCAAGAAAACTTCAAAGTTTGATTGTAACGATCATCCATCCCTAATAGAAAAGAGAAAATCTAGACGCAATTATCAATTCTATTCAAACTCATTTTGATCAGCCCTGTTTCAAAGTTTTTCAAATCTAGAGTCTTTTTGTTAAAACACTTCATGTTACAGTTAAGATCAGATGTTACAAAGTTATATCTTAACTATACAACATTGCTTAACTTTTTATTTTTAGTTGATAGTTCTTCTGCTGATATTTCAATGTTGATGTTTTTTATTAAACCGTGTTATATTTATTTTTCTTCCCTATCCTATTTTGGATACTTTCAAAATCTAAAAAATGTTTCATTACAAGCTATATTACAAAGGTTATTCTAAAAATTTCGCAAGACCTTTCCTTTTTCAAATCAACATTACAATAGAGAAAATCAAGAATTAACCTGCTAGATTTGTTCTTGTATGTGTCACTTTTTCATTTGTGTAGGTTAGTACCTTGGCTACACATTGAAATTTAGCAATCTATAAACTTTTCAAGCTAAAAAATAATTGAGAGAACTTAAAATGAAACCGATGTTCTCTGTGATTGTCACCCCTAAGTATTTAAATTCTTTGATTTGGTCTTAGATATCATCTTTCACCTTGATTGAGACCTTTTCAGTGATGTTTTTCAACCATAACTTTGCTCTACTCAGTACATATCTCCATTCGAAATCTGCCTGCTGCTGTGTCGAGCCTGGATGTTTTATCTTCAAGTTCTTTCGCATTCTGAGCAATCAAGTCGGTGTTGACAGCAAAACGGAGGTAGATAATCGCCAGTAGTGCCCTTCCAGTTCTCAGTGTCGTTATGTCCGATTTCAGCATTCTAGTCTCAATGTATCTTTTTGTTACATTTATTTTGCTACATTTGTCGGTTTACAGGTAATTCTTTCGCGGTCCACCAGGAACCCCACTTCTTGCAGATGTTTCTTATCGTCACCGCTGTACCATAACTTGTGTCTGTTGTCTGTTAGATCGTCTCCTACCCCTTTCTACCTCATTTCAGAAATTTCCAAGATGTTCCATTCGATTTCAGAAATTTCATTGACCAGAATTACTATCTTTCCTTTATCTTTTAACGATCTGACATTCCATGTGCCAATGCACAAGTTGTGCTTAGCAATGCTTGCCCTATGAGCATCGACAAACAGCACGGTCGTTTTAATCCTGGGCCCCGACTAATCCAGTATGGAACTATATCCAAAAACAAGACCCCCTCTTGTTAAAATTGTACCTTTTCCTTGTGTCAAATTTCCCCACAGTTTTTTGGAAAAGCATCAACTGCAATCCACGATGAGCTCCAGACCTTTTTTCCATGCAAAAAGGAACTCCAAGTCATTCCAAGATGGGAAGCTGGATCAGTTGACTAATTATGCTGTTAACCTGGCTTGTTCAGTAACACAAAAACATTGTATTTTAAAGACCACGGCAAAATTGTACCAGTTATTTATTTGCTGGACAGTCTGTTCGCAAAAAGTAGAAGAGTTCTCAGTGCGATTAGGAGCATTGATGTAGTAAAAATTGCTTGAAAAAGTGCAATTTTCAACGAACTAGAAGCACCAAAGTTCGAAAGCTGTTTTCTAGTCGGGTAGTTACTAGTCGGGTATCCTGTGCTTGTTGTCCCGATCTACAGACCTATAGGGTTGGAAGGTCCGTTGTTATTATACACATAATAATATAATAATAATATCATATTTATACAGGTTAACTTTGGTTAGCAACAACGAGCTGCTATCAATAAAGGACCTGTCTAAAATATACATGGATTACCGAAATAAAAATTAAATACATGATGAAAATGAAATCTTAAAAGTCGAAGTTAAAATTTTTACAAAAAGTCTTAAATCTTAGAATTGAACTTTTATACTTCATTTAGTCTGTTAGTTTATTAAAAATCTTCGCTCCTTGAAAGTAAAAGGCCTTCTTGCCTGCTTCTGATTGTACTTTGGGCAAAACAATATTTTTTGCATTGGCACGAGTACACTGCCTGTGTTTTACTCTAGTGAAGTAGTTTCGAAAGGCGTGTGGCGATACGCTATTCAAACTTTTGAAAACTTCTCCAGCTGTACACTGTCCCTGTTGCCATTTATTACTTTCAGTGCCCGTCTCTGAATGTTCTCATACACCATCTTTTTTGATGGTGCCATGTGAAGGAACAAATTGTTACAATAAAGCAGAATTGGTAAAATTGTTACCTTGTAAATTGTTTCTGCTGTGTAAGGACTTATATTATGCCGTATACGCGACAATAACTTTACTCTAGATGAGACTTTTTTTATTGTTTTTTCGAAATGATCAGAAAATGTCAGGTTCTTGTCCATCTTTACTCCTAGATATTCGTATTCTTTAGATTCTGTGATCTTTGTGTTATTGATCTTGATCTCCATAGGTTTTGATTTCGAAGTTCTCTGGTGTGTACCATAAAGGACGCACTCGGTCTTGGTCTTTTTAAGATTAATAACGAGATTATTTTGCTGAAGCCAGTAAGCAATCTGTTTTAGATCACTGTTTAACTTTTCTTCGATAATATCACAATTTTTACCAGCAACGTACAAAACAGAATTATCAGCATAGAGGGTCATTTCACATTGGCTTAAATTTTCATCGATATCGTTTATTAGTAAGGTAAAAAGCAATGGACCCAATATGGATCCCTGCGGTACTCCACAGGAAATAGCTTGACTTTCTGACAAGTCTCCATCATATGATACAATTTTCGTTCTACCAAACAGATAGCTCTCGAACCAGCAAAGCTCCTTGTTTTAATACCATAAACATGGATGCTGGAATTACATGTTACATTCTATGTAAAAAGACTTTTATTTTAGCTAGTTCTGTCAATTAGAATATTGTTTACAATACATTGTGTTGGCTTTTGTGAAACAATAATTTGGTAAATCGAGTTTTAAGAAAAAGGTGTCGGACTTGCATGGACCCCTTTTCGAAAAATGCCGTTCTTAGGTAGGAAAATAAGAACTGCTCTCCCATCAAGTCTACAATAATAATAATATAATAATAATAGAGAAATCTAAAGAGGAAGCCTCGATCACTCGAAAGTGCTTTTCATGAGGGTCCTCTTAATTGACTAATAATCAGAAAATTTTCCCGGTGGCCCCCAGAAAACTTGCAAGAACTGCAGTATACAATGGCCTCCTAAAGATAAACTGAAAGATGCCCGGAGGCAATAAATGACCGGGCGGCACATCTTTCATTTGTTCGAAAACCCCTAACAAAGACAAAGACTCCTAACTTTAAAATAGACCCCTAGCTCTATCTTCTAACATAGGAGCTGGGGACAGGGGGCAGATGGAATGACAAACTATCTATTTGGAGCTCATTTAGATGCCTCTTTCTAACCTTCATGTGCCCCTTCCACTTTTGAAATGGTTCCTGTATCTATAGACCCCCAGAACGTAGTCAGAGGCCCTTTACGGATATTTAACACAACTTATTTGTTGGGGAGACAAACCAGCATTTGTTCAAGGGCCTACTGGCTTTCAAAATTTTCCATGATATGCACTGCACAACAAATCGTCTATGTCTCAAGATTTTTGTGGATTCATTTTCGAGACCGGCTACTAGGGACGTAATTTAGAGACGTATTTTAGGGGTGTTAGTTAATTGTTGGATTGTGGTGCTACACATTTCAGGCTCCTACAAAATTATGGTAACGTCCGTATTTACAATTACATTTTGAACACTAGGATAAATAGGATAGGAAGAGAAATAAAGTTATTTGGGAAAATCTTGGCGTTGTTTAACTACTAATGGCTATGGCTACCATAATGGCCACGAATCAAAGCAAAATTGACCAAATGCAAGCAAACATCAAAGCTCTGTGTTTCACTTGTGCACATAGCAAATCTAAACCTTGTAATGTGCTCAAGGCTTTATAGGGACAGTCAGTCTATTTCTGAGGCTTGCTATTGCACAGGTTTGATGTGAAAGATTATGGTTCTCCCCGGGCCAAGACAACCTTGAATTGTTCATGCTAATGACACCGAGATTGAAATCCTCAGGGTCTTCAGTAAGGGTTCTAGTGATTGTTGTGTGAACTGGCAACAACATCAAAGGAGATGATAAGATTGCATTTTATTTGAAAATCAAATTTGTAACTTGATAAACTCTTTCTAAAACTGTAACATTTAGCATTTATTTTTAAACATGTAACTTGGTCCAAGGATGTAGGAAACGTTATAAAAGGGAGAGTCACCTGTTTAAAGGGGCACCCTAAGAGAGATTCTACAAGGGATAAAGATCTATTTTAAGGGGCACCCTAATAAAGGATTCCAGAAAAGATAAAAGGGCTGTTTCAGGAAGTCATGAAATCAGAACAAATTTATCAACAGTAATCTACCAGAATTTTATTTTATCCACCTTCAAGCGATGCTATTGAGATCTTGTTACTGTATACGATTTTTGCACACACAATTCGCAACTATTTCACCAAATCTTGACAAACAGCATTGCTTGGAGAGGGCGGTGGAGGGAAGAAGACGGTGGAAGAGTTAAGCAACAAATTAGTCTCTCTTAAGCCTAAATCTAAATTTCGGATGGTTTCCGAAATCATTTCGTAGGTTTTGTTTTGGTAAAACAGACAGACGTTGGCATTATTGTGAGGTGGTAAAGAAAAGCAGTCTCACAATTTTTGCGGATGATTGTGGGTACAATGGTATATAGATCATTTCCTGACTTGGTTGCCAGCAGTGCCACCGAGTAGTTTGTGAAGCAAGATGAAGGCGTAGCCATTTGCTAGAAAACTCTTCACGGCCGTGCCCTTTAGGGCCTTTTAGATTAACTTGAAATACATTTCAGAATATTTCTTGCAGTCATTTTCTTGGAATCGTTTCAAATGCTTAAAAATGGGAGAGGGCTAAAGTCACTGCTATTTAACATTCTCAATTAAATGTTCCTCCCAGCAACCACAGAGCTGAGGTAGCCTTGAGTAGAATCTTGTCAATGCTTCTCCAATATCAAAAACCTTTGCTGAATTGGTTTGAAACTTTTTCTGAAATCTACTGAAAGATATCCTATGAATCCCGAAATACATTATGGGCAGGAAATCATAATCTCGCAGATTTCCAAAAAACCTTGGTCTTTATGCTCAGTGTCTTTTTTGAAGTACGTCATAAATGCAAACTACCATGAGCTGATGTCTTGAAGTTGAAGATGTATACCGAGTCGATCTTACTTCAAAACAGCTTGAAAATATCATAAAGTCCAATTGATTTTCCTGTGCTTGTAGTGAAGCTTCGAGTTCTGAGGTTTCTTATTTCTGTTTTAATGTCCATTGCTCATTTTTTATAGCAATTTTCTTATAAGCAGTGAGTGCAATACATAAGGCTGGGGGTAGGCATTCACTTTGTGTTGAAATAACTTTCCTCATTCTATCTTAAGCGTTTCGATTTATATTTTATGCTGCACATTATTCTATGATGATTTACAGACTTATTTTCTTTCCTTTTCTTGAAGCTCAAGTGATCAATGAAAATTTTTACTTGGTCATCTGGGATTTCTTCCCTAGAAACTTTGCCACCTTTCTGATAACGCCAGCTAAATCAACTTTCAATTCTTCAAAAAATGCACACGTTTCGATAGTTCCTTCGTTTCCATAACTCTTGCATGTATTCAAAGTATGGGCATAGAGCACTGTCCTTCCTACAATATGGTCTGATTGTTTGGGGTCAAACATATGCATCATACATTGATCCAATTTTCAATATACAGAAGAAAGCTGTCAGAGTCATCTCATTTCAGTCTCGCACGTCTCATTGTCTTCCAATCTTCAATGATCTTAACTTTTGAAACTTTCTGAGGTTTTTAAGCTTCGAATATTAACCTTTGTTTTCGATTCTGTTAATAAAACTTCACATACTTGCTTTCATGACTTTTTCCTACCTAATTCATCTGTTCATCAGTATTCCACAAGACAGGCCAGTAAAGGTGACTATATATGTTTCAAAAAAATAGTCTTCAATATGGTCTATTAGATATGTTGGTGCTAAACTTTGGAATACATTACCTGTGGAACTAAAAAAATGCCTCATCAAAATCATTGTTCAAAACAAAACTGAAAAGTTATTTTTTGAGCATAGTCGACCGATCAATCTAAATTTGTACTACTTTGCAACTTATGTACTTAAACTCGAATGAAATTAACCTGGCTATATATTAGAACAGGGGAGGGGGGCTCTCTTTTCGATTAGTTTACTTTTGAGAGAGCTCCTGCTTTAAATAATTGCCCACATGCAATTTATTATTTAGCTCCTCTTTGTATGTCTATTGTATTTAGCCTTTTGTCACATTGTATTAAGTTTTTATTTTGTAAAATTATGTATTCAATCAATGTAGTTCAATTATTTGTATGTGCTGTAGAATTTTGAATTGTATCTGGAGAATTTGAATTATATATGAACTAAATTGAACTGAGCACTAGATTATCAATGAACAGTTCGAAGTAGGTTGGAAAATCTACAGGGAAATGAAACATGTTGCGCATCTTTTCATGTTAGAATGACGACATAATTGTGTCTGTAACAGTGGTGGGTCTAGACAAAAATTTGAGTGTATTCCTATATGGGCGTGGTCACATATTTTTCTGACAACGCCATTGACTTTCATCCAAAAATGGGCAACGCCCATTTTTGCTTTTTGTTAAGATTCTCAATTGCAAGATTTAATTTTAACAAAATATATTATTTCATCATGATTCCAAGGCAAGTAAGAAAAGTAAACGTGTAAACCAAACCAGGAATTGTTATTATGATTTCTAAAAGAATGGTTCGATTTCTTGAAAAACAGAGGACCTTAATATATTCCTTTAGTTTGTTACAGCAGGAGATAAACTTACTGAGTGTTGCAAGATTTGAGTGAAATTCATGCTAGCAATATTACCAAATAATAAACAAGACAAATTTACAAATAGTCATCAAGATTGTCAAAAATGGATAACGATGGACGAAGCTTCTCGTCATATACTGTAAATCCTCAAATAAGCCCCCACGCTCAAATAAGACCCCCTCGAATAAGCCCCCAGCTAAAAAATGTTTTTGCAAATAAGCCCCTCCCCTTGATTAAGCCCCCATTGGGGCTTGTTCGAGGGAAGCATGATTGCAGGATAATATCTTATTTCAAGAAAACCCCCACAGGACAATAGCTATACAGTATTACTTCCTTTGACTGGAGATCAAAAAGCAAAAAGCGCCTTTTGTGATGATACAAAATTATAATATTTGCTAGTTCTTTATAAGTGTTGTTTGAAAAATCATGTCATTTTTATGTCGACCTTTGAGGAAAAAAATATCTTTGAAATAAGCCCTCCCCCTCGAATAAGCTCCCCTCGAATAAGCCCCCACCCAAAAATTCATTTTTTGCAAATAAGCCCCCGGGAGCTTCACAGCCTCTACTGGAGATAAGAGATATGGGCCTGAAATTTATCAGAAACTCCACAAATGGTGTTGCGAACGTAAATTAAGGCATTTTAGGTTGTTTCGAGCAAAAAAGACTTTGTCTGATAATTGACCATTTTTTGAATTTTTTGCATATCCAGGGTCACAGATTTTTTGGAAAATGACCCGGTTCTATTTTAAAAGATATGGGCCTGAAATTTATCAGGAACTCCACGGATGGTGTTGCGTACGTAAATTAAGGCATTTTTGGTTGTTTCGAGCAAAAAAGACTTTGTCTGATAATTGACCATTTTTTGAATTTTTTACATATCCAGGGTCACAGATTTTTATGGAAAATGACTAATTTCTTTTTTTAGTGATACGGGCCTGAAACTTATCAGAAATTCCACAAATAGTGTTGCAAACGTAAAATCAAACATTTAAGGTTGTTCCGAGCCACAACAGTTTTTTCTGAAATTTGGCCATTTTTTCAATTTTTTTACATATCCGATGTCACAGACTTTTTGAAAAATGACTCAGTTATTTTTCAAAAGATACGGTCCTGAAATTTATCAGAAACTCCACAAATGGTGTTGCGAACGTAAATTAAGGCATTTTAGGTTGCATCGAGTAAAAAAAAAATTTTCTGAAAATTGATCATTTTTGAATATTTTTGCATATCCTGGGTCGCAGATTTTTTTTGATAATGAAAAAGTTCTTTTTTAGAGATATGTGCCTAAATTTATCCAAAACTCTACAGATCAGAAATTTATCACAAACATAGTTCTCCCATAGTTTGATTTTCTAATTTCACGAAATCCGTCAAGAAACCTCGGGGGACTAAGTGTGACGGTTGATTTGACCGATTTGGAATTCTGTTCTTGCAAAAAACCAACTGGTCAAAAACAAAATGGTCAAAAGTTGAGAACAAATTAAGAACAAACTTAGGAGCTACTGTAAAATGTAACTTTAAACAATGTTTCATCTCAAAAACGAGGACGTTTTTTGCTATCTAGGGGAGGTAATTTTTATAAACCTCCCTTAAGGCAGTGCGATGGGGCTCTTTGCCCCAAATTATGCCAGCATATTCATGACAACAATAGAACAAGAAATCTTGAGCAATACTTCGATTGGGCCTATTCCAATGTTTTGGAAAAGATTTGTGAATGACACAGTTTTCATCTGGCAACACAAGCTAGAAAACCTACAGGAATTTACACAATATACTCTTTATCAAGGGTGAAACATTTTATTCCTCAGTTAAAGGAAATCTGAATCTATTTAGAAATTTATTCCATCCAGCCCAAGCTAACCGTTGGCAACTCCTATTTCGTGTCGATTGTAGTTGGTATCACTTTACCTTTGAAACAGACAAATTCAAGCATTACCTTCTTTCTTGTTACAGTTGTAAGAAAAACAACAAAGCAGAGCCTTAGGAAGAAAACATTTGCCCCTGCAAAAATCAGTTTTTTCCTGCGAGACTGTTCTCTATTCGTGGCTAGGGAGGTGAACCCATACCCCCCTCAAGTGACGCCCCTGGGTTTGGAACCTTTAAACATTTGAAAAGTCATCAAACTGCACTGCAGTGACATCAAGGTTGTCTCTTTAAAATCTCGTTTTGCAGCTTGGCGTCTTCATTGGGGGTGCATCGAGCATCTACCTTGCTCTGCGATGAAACGAGCATGCAACGCGGGCTTAAGCATATCATCATCATCATCATCATTCATTATTATTATCATATAAATACAATAATAAAGCTAAATAAAGCTCGTTATGCCAGGCTATCCCTGACAAATTAGAGCATTTACAACTTAAGAGTTAAAAATTATTAAATTAATACAATGGCTTACAAGCAACAGCAGCAACAACAACAATTGCCTCGATTGAGCTAAGCGCCTCGATAGAACACCGCGAGGACTGGTGCATAGTCGATATTTGTTTTAACCAAGAATGCACAGACTTACTGTGTGACCATAGATATATATTTGTGACCGACTGTTTGTTGACAGTCATGCGGGGAGGCACCTAAGGATTTAGACAATAACATTTGTTCAACCTAAAATTTTTGGACGGGCACAGAGGCGCAAGTTGGGCGGTTAATGCCCTCCACCTTGACTTCGTGCCTGCATGCTACACTGATAATATCCATTACATCAGTGTCTTCTCCTATTTTCTTGGAACTACTTTCGAATACCTGCAAGTGTAGTGCGCGGCTGATTTTCTGCAAAAATACACACAGATTTATCGTTTCATTGCATCGTGTTTTAATTTTTTCCTCGACTTATTCTTGACAGAAAATGTGTAGTCTTAACAGCAGCTCTGAGGTGTCTTTTAGCCTCTCTTGTGACGTCATTCCTTAAATGAATATTCTCGGCTGCTTCTCTTCTGGATAGACTTTGTAAAATTAGAAAACTAATTTTTGATACGCAGGATCGGATTAAAAGATGTACTACTGGTGCGGTGCGGCAGCATTAGGCCCAATCTTGAAAAAAGCCCAGATGAATTGACGAGACTTATTCCATAGCTAGATAGGTTTTTGTGTAATAGCACCTGACCAAACTTTTTCTTAATCCAGAACAATTGATAGCTTATCTAATGGCAAATTATATATGCTAATAAAGTTTAATTTTTTATTATTGATTGATAAATAGACGAAGAATCATTATTTAAAACAAAATGCATGCAAACCAAAGGATATTCCTCCCACTACACAAATCAAAGTTATGTTTCGATGCAGGTTTTTACAAGCTACAACAAAAACAGCCGAAAGGGGAACAGCAACGTATCTTTGCGCCAGCTGGCACAAAATATTCGTGTACTCTATACATGGGCTCCGACAAAGGTTGAAAAGTGGGGAGGCCAAGGGAAAATTTAACACCCATAACAAAAGATTTTGAAAAAAACTCTATTGTTTTGCAAAAATGCGAGGGGGCCAAGGCTCCCCCGGCCCCCCTTCGTCGGAGGCCCTGTTATAGTTGTTTAGAATGTTGTTTGTGGAGACTGTACGCATATTTTGTATATCCATGACCGATAAATCACCATAAGGACACTAATAGTCGACTTGAGATTAGCAGATGCTCAATTTCTATTAGCATTAACTTAAATAGGATAAAACATTTCTTTTTTGGGTCTTTCCTTATTGAAACATGGGTGAAGTGGTTATGTTATCCACTTAAAAGTGCCAAAGGCGCTTGTCTACTTGCATTGGAAGCAAGCGCCATTTGAAGGGGGTTGCAGAGATACAACACAAACAGACGTGCAGACAAAATCAGAGCATTGAATTAAAGAAATACCTAGTTGTCAGAGCCATGTCAAGGACCGGAGGGCTCAATCAGTTGGTCAAACGTACATCATGTGAGTTCCGAAAAACTCTGAGCAAGGCTGGTCTGAAAGCTAGAATTCTCGGACAAAGAATTTTGAAAATTGGGATGCCGTTTTACTCAGTCAGAGGAACCACAAAAAAGGTAGGAATCTATAGATATGATGTTACAGTTATTTTCTTGATAAATCATTGGCTATTGAAGTACCATAAATTTTGCAGTAGCATCTAGTTATTTTTATTGTTCTAAACCTAGATAAAAAATTAGGTCTTTGTTGAAGTCTTTTCTAGTTTGTACTCGTTGCAGGGTATTATTTTGACTTTGACACAACTTTTCAACTTCTTTGTAAAAAACTTTGAAAAAATTGTTGTGAAGTAAGCAATATGTTGAAGGTATACAGGTGTCTAATTTTGATGACATATCAAGAACCACAAGGAATTATTGTTAAAATCAAAATTTAGTGAATTCTGCTCTTTAATTTGACATAATTTTAAAAAGTAGAATGACATAATTTTAAAAAGTACATGAATTGGTTTCAAAAATACTCGATCAAGCTTGAAAATTCCCAGTGCAAAGGGTTACAGAAATTTTGGAAAGTCAGAGAAAATGATACATTCTACGCAAACCAGAATCCGAAACTAGGGTCCAGTTTCTACTTTCAGGAACACACATCATATTCATTGGACCAACTGACTGAGCCTGCCGGGTGTCAAGCGACATTTTATCATATCTACATTCGCATCATTTTGTCTAAATAAATGTGTTTAGAAATTTTTTACACCACCTTTGCTGCTGGCAACAGCAACAACAAATTCACACTAGAAGATGCATAATCATCTTCAAAACGATTTTCGTTAACGTTTATCTAAAAATCCTCTTGTCATCAACCAAAAAATCACCGCACCTCCTCAAATTTATGGATTCCTTTGTCTTATCGAGATCCCCTGCAACAAGAGGACGGAAAATATTCAATCCAGAGATATAGAGGAATTTTAGAATAAGATAACAGATAAACGAAATTAGAATAATATGGTTGTATCTATCATCAAGAGTAAGAAAAATCTAAATCTTCAAATATATTTGCCTCGATCAACTACCAGACCATTTGTAAACAAAGTTTAATCTTTTAAATCTGTTTTTAGCAAGATTCATATCATGTAGGCCGCCTTCTTACCAGCTGTAAGCTCTATCATTTAATTCATTTATTGTTCATTTATTATCATATGCATTCTATCCTATGAATTTCAATTAAGTAGAACAAAAAACCAAATGTATATTAACAATCTCCTGGGTTTTACCTGTGATATTTCAGCTTCATTTCTGAAAATATTACGTTGCCTGTACTTCCAATTCCATGCCAACCCATGTACGTCGCACTTGTTGTGCTTGTTGTTGGGAAAAGTCCATTTAAATTTACACGGTGACATGAATTGTGCCACCAGGCTCCTTTCCAGACAATTGCACAATTCTTAGCATTGTTATCGTTGTCTTGATCGTATGTTGTGAATTTCATGCCATCGTGAAGCGCCATGGAATCACCAGCATTACCTATAGAAAAGAAATATCATTTACCAAGAACAGACTCGTTGTGTTCTAATTTCTCACTGCTCTTAAATGATTTTGATTTACAAATAGAGAAATTTCTGCCGCGGAATGAACCAAAGTAGCAAAAAATTGAATAATGAGTTCTTTAGCATGTTATTGATAAAGGAATTAATGAGTATGAATGAATGGATATATATATAAGTCTAAATTAAAGAGATTTTGATAATTTACCTGAGTATCCACGTGAAAGCAGTTTGTAAGCAGATGCTTCGTCACCAACTTCAAATGAAGAATACTCTGCATAATACTGAGTTGTTGGGCTGTTGCGGTGTTTCATGTCGACCCGTAGAATAGCCCCTCTTCCTGGAGCAGCCAGTCTGTGCAACGTATCAAGTCCAATCCAAAAATTTCCACTCGTATCCCCAAATCCATTTTTGTATGACGCCCAGTTTCGATAAAAATCGACACTGACATCTATTCTTCTTTGAAAGACGATCCAGTCTTGACTCCCATATACAAAGTCACAAAAGACGTTGACCTTCCAATTGTGATCCGGTTTAATTTCGTAGACTCCGCTTACTGTTTGTCCAGACTTTTTCACGTCTCCACAATCTAGCAAGGAAATGTAGTTAGTAAGTTTCATCGATGACACACTAGAGCCGGTCTTGATGCCGTTTGCTATTAATATTGATGCATAGATATTAATGAGTGCTCGTTAATCGCTAAGAAAGTCATAAACATCTAAACCCTGATTGGAATTGAGTGCAGAATTTTTCTGCCAATTTTTTATTATTCCACCAGAGAAACCGTCATTATAAAATACACAGGCGATACTGTGATCTACGTAGCTGATATAGAGATCAAAGAAGTATATGAAAGGTTATCGGATGCAATGACAGAACTTTCAGTCTAATTCAGTGGAAATGAATCGATCTTCGTGTCCGATCTAAAAGAGAAAAAAGCTGAAGCCACCATGTTATTTGGAATAGTGGTGGGAATACGAATATACACGGAGCTTTTATGCGTTGTTCGCGAAGATGGTCAAATTAGCATCACTTCAGCATAGAGGTATCTTAATGTGCAACCAGACTCTTCCCTTAACAGTGATTTTCATAAAGGGCGCCATCAAAGGCGGGTGCAGGCGGGTGCAGGCGGGTGCAGGCGGGTGCAGGCGGGTGCAGGCGGGTGCAGGCGGGTGCAGGCGGATGCGGGAAATTTTACGCAGTTCCTCCGTATTTTCTTATTTCTGATAAGAGCAAAGATTGTTCTAGGGTATTATTCCTGGTTGATGCAGAAATTCCTCAATGCTTATCCATAATGGCCGTTCAAGCTCTTTATCCAGACGATAACCCCGCATAAAAGTGGTCAATTTTTCTTATTTTTTTATTTATGCTCATAACAATTCACAATAAAAACAATTTACAAAACGATACCACGGGAAGCATGGAAGTGCATCACAACCCTGTAGCCATTAACATTTAACTACAAGCCTGTCCCAAAATAGAGGCAGAATGATGCAGGCTGAGGATCCAGTTGTTAGGGGCCTGCATGCAGAGCTCTCTTCAATCGAAGTTTCGTTTAACCTATTGACATTGTAAATTTAGCGCTTCACTCAATTTAACAAGGGGCGTGTTTTTAAATAATCCAAGCAACTAGCCCTGTGAGGTATATTTAGTAATACTTAATTAGTTCGTGATACACACAAGAAAACTTAATGTTGAATAAATTCTTGCATCAACTATTTTTACTTTTGCGTTTATGGCGTATAACAATTGACAATGAACACATGAACAGAATATACAAAACCATACCACAGGGAGCATGGAAGTGCATCGCAACCCTGTGGCCATTAACAGTTAACTACAAGTCTGTCCCAAAATAGAGGCAGAATTATGTAGGCTGAGGATTAAGATGTTGGGTTCTGCAGGCAGAGCACTTAGTTGTGTTATGTATCATCTATTTCGATTTTGGCACAGACTTCAGACACAAGTAAAACATAACGAAACTCGATCAGAATTGCAAAGAACTTAAAAATTATTCACGAAAGGGGCAGGACAGAAGCTATGGGGTGCGGTTACCGTCAAAATTGTGCAATTGCTTTTTTATAAAATTGTACCTTGCATTTATAAAATGGTACCATCTGTTTTCTGAAATTGTAGTTTCTGTTTCACCAAATGGTACTTAGTTTCGAATAATGGAACCCTCTGTTTCATAAAATGGTATCTTTTGCTTCATTAAATTATACCAATTCATTAAATTAGAAGGTGCCAGCAAGATGGCTAAGATGCCATTAACCTACAGTGGACACCAGGGTAGACCATTTTTTGACATTTCGGAGCTGTGGCTTTGTCTCGCCTGGATTCGGGGTCTCTATCCCGCAAATCAGCAGCCTGTTGCAGGTTTCCACAAGGACAGTTGAAAGACGAATTCATTTTACGGCTTGAAGGCAAGGGGGCACAGCCAAATTTCAGATGAGGCATTGGATGTTAGAGTTGCAGAAATTAAACAGTTCGATCCAAACTGTAATTCAAAGGCCCTTGCCGGTTATCTTGCAGCGCAAGGTATAGAGATTTCGAGGGAACGGATTCGACAGTCTTTACAAAGAGTCGATCCAATTGGTGTCAATGCTCCGACTGAAGAGAAGCACTGGCATCACTTGCCGGGGTATTTGAAACCGTTGTTGTTGGAGTTGAAGAAAGCTGCGATGCGACCCTTGACAAAAGTCGAGCAGCATCTGCAAGTTCTTTATCCGCCATTACTGTGGCCGGGCACACACCAAGACACCACGCTACTGCTTTGTACTGCTGTGCTGGTTCCCAGACTCCAGAAAAAATATCACTTTACAAAACAGAGGGGTACCATTTAACGCAGCAGAAGGTACCATTTTACAAAACTAATGGTGCCATTTTATAAAACAGAGGGTACCCTTAATGAAACAAACGGAACAATTTTAGAAAACAAATGGTACCATTTATAAATAAAAGGTACAATTTTACAAAAAAGAATTTGCACAATTTTCTCGGTAACGGACCCCAATAAAAAGCAGGTTGTCAAAAATGGTACGATGCGTGGATGTATTTTAGCGTAGCCTTGATAATATCGTTGTTGATATCATTTGGTAACCTTTCATCTCTATACAAAATGACTTGAACTAGAGCTTCGTTAGAAAGGCTTGATAGGCCATTTGCAAGCAATATTGCGTTGACGGTCCGGAGAAGATCTCGTTTCTGAACATCGTTTATGTGATCAATTTGATTTCAAAGAAGCATCATGAAACACAGCAACATAAGGAAAGCAAGTGATTCCATATTTTCAGCTTATTTTGTTGCCATTATAATCGTAATTTTCGATACAAGGCAGTTGTACTTTGCCCTAATTTTTACTGGAACTTTAAGACAACGTTTTATTTAACCAAAAGTTAAGGTTTTAAAACTGAAGATCAGACTGGTATGACCAAGATGAATTTTGTTCATATTTTGTTTGGCTTTTACTTCATAGATATATAATAACTAGTTACCTTGTTTCAATTTGTCACAATGTGTTCCATAGTAAAGTGGGGCGCATATGCACTTGTACCCCTTTTCATCACATGTATCTTTGCACTTTGCACCATTTTCGCAAGGAGATTTAATCTCACAAACAGGTCCGTCCTAGGATAAAAAAGTTCATTTTCATAGCTTATCTAAGAAAAAATAGAACAAACTTATAAATTTATATAAATCTGAGAAATTGAAAAACAGAAAATTTGATCTGCCATGCTTGGTCAAATTGAAATGTCCATGTGAAAATTTGACATGTAGAGTAGCTATTTTCTATACTTTTGTGGCTTAACTGTTTTCAAAAGAAAACTTTTAAATGTCTGTACTACGACTGCACTCACATTTATTTTCCCATCGCCTGTTGTCATGTACACCTGGTCCGCCCTGTGCGTCAACAATGCAACGCTCTCGTTGAACCTTCTTTCCAGTAGCTCACAAGTCATCCTCCCGCGATTGTAATTCAAAGAGAGACACTTAGGCCAAGAAAGACATTTGAGCGTGCATTGTCGCACTGTCCTTGAAGAAATTGTTTTCATGACTGTCCCTGTGTCAGCAGTATTGTTCAGGATAATGCTGAAGTCAGCGTAGAATTTGCACGGAAGTCTTAATAGGCAGAGACATCTGCTGGTCATCAGTAAGACAAACAGGGTTTGGCATGCTGTAAAGACCACTTTCATTTTGAAATTCTGAATTTGATCTCACTACTTGATATAGAATCACTTGAAACTCCTTGTTGGTGTATTGCAGAAAGTTGCCCTAATATATATTCAACATTTAATAATTGATGAGGCAATGATATGATACGATCTTACCCCACTATTGATGCTCTTCTTCTTACGTCATAACCCGCTAGATATCAATTCTGAAATATACTTTGTTTGCAGTTTTAAAAAGAGCCCAGAGACGATGCCAAAGTTGCATTATGGTGAATAATGTTATGCGGTTCATAAAGGTCTTATTTTCCGTCTTCAACTTGTTTCGTCACATCATCAGAATCAATTGTTATATTAGCATCGTCAACGTAGATGCTTTGCTTACAAAATTCAAGCACTTTTCTTGGTCATTTATGTAGATAATAAAAAGGAAGGGGCCTAGACAGGAACTTTGAGGGATTCCAAAAATCACTTCTCTTGAAATCGAATTCTGAACATCCAAAGAGCAAATCTGTTTGTCTTTTACTCGAGATTTTCCCTTGATTCCATCATTACCTAATTTCTTTACCAATATGTTATCATCGTCTGTGTCAAAAGCCTTTTTGAGATCTAGAAATATTGTAAGATTGACGTAGCTTCTATTTATGCTTTCGTATGAGAAGTCTGTGCTGTATTTTAGTCGTTCATGCATTAGTCGTTCAAGAATCCTTGGTACCATATTTATAAATAGGGGCAACTTTTGCCAATTATAAAATGTCAAGGAAACGCCATTCAAGACTTTTTGCAAATATAGGCATAGGTAACGCAACTTTGGAAAATTTTCCCCAATGGAACCTAAGTAGCAGCAGTTCTTAATGACTGGGAACCTATTTTTGGACACTAATACTAATTTTTTGTCACGTCCTTTTCAGCCACCTATTTTTAGACTGATGCGCGGTGCCTGGTTTGCATAAGTAACAGAGCAATGTATGTATTCACTGGCGTCCTTTACCAAAATTACCACGATTTTATCAATGGTGGATGCTTTCCCATTCCTTAGCTGAATTATAGCCTTCACTATCAGGGGCGAATCTTCACTATTTTCATTAGGGGGGTATGAAGACTCAATGCCCGGCGAAAAGGCGTGTCAAGCTTGATGGAAGGGCGTGTCGTGCCTGAACATCATTTTAGGGCACATTGCCTCAAGGGTTGAAGTCATCAGGGATCCCGAGAGAGGGTCACTAAGTATGTTAGGCCTTCAGACTCAGGCTGTTTTTCAAAGCCAAAAAAATATGCCTCTAGTTTTCTGGTATTGGTTATAAACATTAGTTTCCGAAAAGCAAGCATTTGTAAGGCCTCTCATTTCTATAAAAGAAAATAGTATTCACTTTCTAAATCTCCTAGCTATAAAGAGAGCAATTTAAAAAAGAGATTGAAGTAGAGTCTCAATTTGATCACAGTGGAACAACAAAACACAGCTTGGAAATTCTGGAATTTAGAAACAGCTACACAGAATACAATGTTTCAACAAAAAAGAGCTCCAGTTGCATTTTTTGAGTTTGATTTTCAACATTCGGTTGCTCCGTAAATTAAACATTTTTGGACACCCAAGCATAAAGTAAGTACCTCTGAATTCACCATAGCAAAATCCCTCAAGCTTATGCAAAGAAAACCTTTTTTATTGGAAATATTTTACAAGTATACCTAAAATAAAAGCTCAATTTTCGCGTTTTCGTAATCATGGATATTGTTCTGAAATAGAAGAAGCTTGAACTATTTTTGCAATTCTTACCTAAACTACAAATCCTTGATAAATATTCTATTTTTTCTCACTTGAACTGTCAGCTTAAAACTTACTGTTACTTGTAACAACTATTTAAATTTTCTTTAGTTAACAAAACGGCCTGCAATACTTTCGGAATTTCAGGGCATAACTCCTTATGAATGTTTGATGAAGGTTTCTTGATTTTTCTCAACAACGTATTCCGAGATGGCATATTCCGCAGCAACCCCCCCCCCCATCCACCCTAACAGTTTCGCCCCTGTTCACTATATGTGCCTTGTCTACTGTTTAAAACAACAATTCATCATTTTCTGGTGTAATGTTCTATAAACAAATATTGTCTGGTCCCCGTTCAATTTTTTTCTAGGCTTAGCCCAACAGCGACTAAGTGGCGATTTAATGCTGCAAGAATCTCATTTTTGTCAGAACTTTGTTGTTAACTTCAACGGTATAGATTTGACTTCTTTCTCAAAGACTGTTCTATTTGTTTTTCACATTTTCTTTGGATCCCCAGTATTTTCCTCTATTAGAATTTTGAAATAATCCCAGACAGCGTTCCTAATTTCTCTTGCTACCATACTTCGCTGCATAAGCTAACCACATTGCAGGAATTTTAATAGCTATTTTTTCAGTCCCAGGTTCCCCTCTATATTCTGAAGTGAGATATCAATCAGGGAGAAAATTCCGACCTTGCTCTTTCTTCTTTATTGGAGCATGTATGTTCAAAAAAGATTACAAAATCTCCTGAAAAATATCTGCCATGGTGAAACGATTTTTCGCAATTTTGACGGACGAAAGCTTGACAAGATAAATATCAATTCGCCGGAACTTCTCTTCAATAACGAGAAAGAAAAAGGATCCAAGAAACAAATACCTCAGAATCAAAATTAAAGAGAACCGTGATTGGGAGGAGCAGTAAATGCAAACCAACCCTGAGCTAAAGAGAGAGCTTTTCTTCTGACACTCTTCAGAGTTTAAAACGTCAGCTAAGAATTATTCACTGCAAAATATATCACTGAAAAAATTGAATAACGTTCTTTCCCAAAGTAACACGTCTATTTCAAATTTGTTTGGGATGCTCTCTACATCATAAAACTAACCAAGTTCCACCAATTGCGCACAAGGGCAAAGGAATTAACGAGGAAGCGAGGTATGACGATGGTTGGCTCTGTACTTGGCTTCCCATAAGGTCTCTATTCTGGTTTGACAAGAGGGTCATGACATACAAATTTTTACACGATCTCTGTCCCGAAAATCTTCGCGATAAATTCATTAAACGATCCCAAATTTCTAAGTTTAGCACAAGAACCCTATAAGTACTCTTATTACGATAGTTGAACTAGAATTGCGAAAGAAAGCTTTTACTTCTCTGTCGTACAAAACTAGAATAATTACCTGAAAAACGCCGGAGAAGTTTATCCTTTCGTTCAAATCAAGAATTCACCAAGCATACTTCATTGGTAAAAAACATTCGGTAACATCAAAGTAGATGACGTAGTTCACGAATATCTTGTTTTCCAGAGCAGGTTCAATACTTGATATGACAGGTATAGTCTGACCGATAGGGATTCCGCAGGGCTCGTGTTTGAGACTCTTTATTTTCACAATACGAAAGTATAATTTAAACAACTGTTTGGAAAGCATGATACCAAGTATATATGCCTATGATGTATCTGTAACACCTGAATCAGTAAACCCGCAGAAACTCAACACAAATTTGGAACATGTGTTTGAAAACATTTCGATTGATGAAGACTGATAAACGCAGTTTGAATGCACTAAAAAGCGAATGCATAGATAAATGTCACAGGGGACCGCTTAGTCGAAAAGGTAATGACATCCCTAATATGGCACTACATAGCAATCTTATCAGAAAGGTCGTCAAGTCCAAATTTCTGGAAAACAACATTGGTGAAGATGTATTCAAATGTATAATCTTAGTGGAAGGTTTCTTGAAAATCTAAAGCTTTATACTATGAATTTTTATTTATAAAATTACGTATGGAAAATATCATTCGAAGATCAAATATCGAAGGTTTTCTCTCTATGCCCGTTGGCTCTCAGTCAGCCAATGTGTGTCTTTGTTTATCAACTGATACAGGTGTGAAAGATGAAAGTTGTTGGATGCAATGATTAAAACAAAAGCAAAATATTCGTTAACGTGAGTCCTTTTCACATATCTTCATCATGCTTTGGCCTCCATCACCAAATCGACTGTTAAACATAATTTGGCTAAAAACGTTTTAATAACATAGAAATTATCATATGTTCTTGAATATCTACAGTCAATAACCATTGAGCGTGCTGTCCTAGATTTTCAGTCTTTTCTAATTCAATGCCAGCTTTCTCCCGTACAAAAGTGCAAATTTGAACCTTCAATACCAATTCAAAATCTCTTTGCCAGTGTCTATGTTGATACAGTCAATCTCTGGTCTCATTTATTTAAAACAGCTTCTAGAAACGAAGGTTTGCGTGGGGAAAGTCTCTGTCCTTCCAAGTCCACACTAATTTTCATCGGCGATGGTCTGTCTTTTTGCAACAGCGGCGAGCTCTGTACCCTGGAAGGTCTCACCAAAGATGGCGAACAAGGTGGAGTGTTGTTAGGCGGTCGGCCTAAAACTAATGGCTTGCAACTCTTCCATACGCCCTTCTCACTCTTGTCCGACATTGTAGGCCTGTCTAAAGCTTGAGAACAACTGGTGTTGAAAACATGGCTGTTTTTTATTCAGCTGATCGTTAGGTGTAATGAAACATTTCCATAACAATGGAAAGCCGTTAACTTTTCATAATCCTTTGAGTAATGGGTATTTGGTTTTATCATAGTTTTATGGATCACTGTTGTTTGGCCTAAAACTGATTCAACGTTCTCTATACGTCATTTGGCGACTGTCGTTTCCAGGAGATGGGGGTTCAGTCCAGAGGGGGTATTCCCATTAAGACCTGACAGGGGTCCAGTCTATTTGAGGGTCTTACGAAATGGCTATCAAATGGCCCAGTTTCGAAAATGACACAACGGCTTAGTTTGGCTTGCGATTTATTATAAACAATGAACAAGGTTTTATCTTACCCGAGTCAACAACAGTCAAATTTGTCAAAGAAGGACCAGGCGCGTACAAAGAAATCGATGCTACCAATGAAATGATTTCCGTCCTTATGCTCCGGCATTTGAGGGTAATTGTAAAAAAATACTACCATTTCAGGGTAATTTTTTAACATTTTAGCTTTGGCCCTCATTGACCCTGACTGGACACCCGTTAGGCCATAATGGGAGCAACCCCCGGGGGGTTCAGCCACTTTCCTTTCAAGAGAGACAGCCAATGGCGATAAATTCAATCTCACTTACAATTGATGCTGAAATTCTTGCTTTCTTCTGCATTCTATGGATCTTCAAGATTC